GAAAAAGGTAAAACAATGAAAGAAATGACAAAATAACTATCAATAAGAAAAGAATGATTATATAAATATTTTTATAGTAACAATTTTGGGAAAAATTAGTTGGGGAACGACGGATAAAATTAAATACACAATAACACAATTACTAAAATTGAAAAAAAGAAGATTATTTATAACTAGCCTTCGGGCTTCATTCTGTATATCCCCATTATGAGGTATAAAATTTACCGTTTAGAAAAAAATGGTGACAAAAAAAAAAAAATAATAATAATAATAATCCAAGCCTAATTCAAAAGCAATAATATATATAACTAATGAGGGTTAGACTCAAGTGCTAAGCAGCTTGTGTAAGAATATGTGGCCCGAAAGTATTGGGCTCACAATTAATTATTCTATTGGGCTAGTCTTTAATTAATGGTCGAACAGATCTAAGTCATTAATCTGGATATTTGATGGACGTACCAGATTTAAAGCACCCCTATATAAATTAGTCATTTCTCCTCCTATTAGGGTACGCAGTTTTATCCCATCACTTTTCTGCTACGTTAAGGAACGGTCAGGAGAGAGAAACTAATTGAGATCTAACAATCGATCAAGCCTCGTGTGATCATCAAGATCAAGATCACAAATTATGTCGTCTTCCGCATCAACTAAGTATTTCGTATACACCAAATTATTTATTCGAGGTCCATGATGAAGTTTACAGCTTGATGTTGCTTAAGCAAGGTCTCGGGTTCGAGTCATTGTGAATGCAGAAAACTCTTGTTGGGAGACTCACCCACCATTACCAGGTGTGCGACCCGGGTCGACCAATGGATTAGTCGGGGCAAAGCTCCGAAAACTGTGACTGACTACCAAAAAAAATATATATATATACAAATTAAATTATGAAGTATAGAACTTTTCTGGCAAAAATTCAAAATTGGTCCTATAATTTGGCCACTATCCAAAAAACCACCCCTATATTGACCACTTTCAATTTAGATCCTATAATTTGTCGATTTCATCAATTTTGGTCCTTTTTTATCCGTACCCCGGATTAAAAAGTGAAGTGGCATGAAAAAAGGACCAAAATTGATGAAATCGACAAATTATAGGACTAAAATTGACGTGCCACGTAGATCATAATCATGCCATGTAACCTTAAAAAACTGACACGTCATGACACATCACTTTTTAATCCAGGGTCCGGATAAAAAGGACCAAAATTAATGAAATCGACAAATTATAGGACCTAAATTGAAAGTGGTCAATATAGGGGTGGTTTTTTGGACAGTGGCCAAGTTATAGGACCAATATTGAAATTTTTCCGAACTTTTCTAGAGCATAAAAATGTGCAAACCAAGACATTTTGAATAATTGTATGGGGGATGATTTTGAGATTTTTTTTAACGGATACTATTACATCCATGT